CTGCTGTGAAGCTTTTTATAGGACTCACCAACCGCTGGCTGAAATACATTAACCTTCTGTCTCTGGATCTCATTCTAAATCCATGGTGGGAGTGTTTTTGTTTTCAGTGAATACCTCAGCATGGCCAATGGGATTGTGTCAGCTGGTGAAAGACTGTCTGTGCAGATAACAATCCCCATATCCACCTCCTCTGGACAGCTGGAAACCCGTTTTCTCCCTCCTCATGTCTTATTTAGCCCTGTTAGTGTGCGGCGTCAGTGCTGGTGGTTTTAATGAGAATATGCCCGGCTCTGGGGGAGCGTCTCCTGCACGCTGTGGACATTGGGCTGCAGCCCTGGCCATGCAGACGCATATCACTAATGGCTACATCAATACATCAGGATCAGTGTGTTCCAGTCGAAACTGTTCTGTCTGAATGACTGTGTGGCGTGTGCGTAGGCCTGATGCTGAGTGAAAAGGAAGTGACAATGACAGTGAGAGGTCTTCCACATTCAGAGCAGCCACTGCTGCTAAGTCACATCCCTCCCTGACCACAGGTCACATGAGCCTGCGTGAGAGCTGATTCTGTCTCTCTGCCACTGCAGTTATCAGATAGTAAGCTGGCATTTATAGAAGGAAGCAACCTCGTCTTTTGTCTGTGTCACTTCCATTTCTTAACTGATATTTTTAAGTCAAAGTAACTGACACAGCTAATGCAGTTGCTCTGACTCCAGTAAGAAGGGAAAATGTAAACAAAATGTAACTGCTGGCTCTGAGTGTGTGATTCTATACATGCACCATTACAGTATGTACATTTACAACTCTTGTTTTGGCCCTTAGGAGATTCTCCATGGTGCCTCACCAGAGGAGAACAGACGTAATAGCAAATAAAATAACAGTCAGTATGTTGTTAAAGGACCTCTGGAGGTTCAGCCACCTTGTCATTAAAGGACCCATGTGATGTTCTAACAGCTTGCGCTTGTGGTGACGTCCCCCTGTGTGGCCTGGCTTCCCTGAGGCCAGCCAGAATGAATGGGCCTTCAGTACCTTAATTGAATAAGTTGTGCAGCCTGATCCCTGGAAGCAAGGACAAAGAACCAGCCAAGACTAATAAATGAAATGTATATGTACAACACAGATTCTTCAGCGATAACACTCATTAATACCTGTAGCTTGTAGAGCTGAGAAATGCACTGTCTTTCTGTGTTTGCAGCCTCCACGTGACTTTTATTCAGCACCGCAAATCTGACCTCAATTTGTGCCTCTCAAGGTAAATCCCCACTTCTATTAAAGAACGCCGCAGCCAAACGTGGCCTGCTTGTTTTCCAACACAAATCTGTACACATCAACTTTATATGATTTTCTTTTTTATTGATAATTCTATGAGGTTCACATAACAAACCACATTTTCTTTTTAAAAAATAACATATTTATACTTTAAACATCTTACTTTACATCTTAATACATAAAAGGTGTTTTTTCTTTTGCACAGCAAAGATATGACATTTATGTTTCAGACAACATACCAACAGACATTATGTACATGTAGTCAACATAATACTCGAGTGAACTCCACAACAGTGCAAAGTAAAGTAAATGAAACAGGCTGTTACAGAAGCGCCCTGACAGGAAAATTAAGGATGCCTGTTTAGACCCACTGAACCACTTAAGGGAAAGAACAAAACGTGCTTTAAATACGGAATGTTTTTTTGGGATCACGATGAGCATCTTTCAACAGAAAAATGCCACTTTTAAGAGAGAGACAGACAGAAAAAAAGTTGAGTAAACAAGCCTGAGGATACAACAAATCCTCTTAAATAAAAGAGATGGAATTAGTGCCGTGCGTCCTGAGGCGCACTGGGATTTTGTCGGTTCAACCAGTTATCTCTCAAATGGGCATGCATTTGTTTGTCCTTTTTTTTTGCTGTGTTTACACAATCTTAAAACATCATTCAGTAGCCTAATCGTGAGTCCATGTGCGGTAATTGTCCCAGAACTTTATTTCTCTTTCTGGATCTCTGGATCTCTCTTTCAAATCTCAGTCAGTGGTGGAGGCGCCAGATTAGACAAACACTCTCCAACACAGCGACAGAGGAAATGTTTCTTGTGGAGACATCGTGGCTCAACCGAGACAGAGGGCGCCCAGAAATGTCTAAAATGATTCAGGCAATTTCCTGCACCTTTACCTCCTCAAAGCCATTAGTGAGCGGAGGGGGCTCCTGGTTGCTTTCAATGGAGGACTCGCTCCCCGTGCTCTCTCCAGAGAGAAGTCTGGTGACTCTGAGATCAGCTTTCAGTGTCTGCACATCGTTTCCTATGCTCATCTCTCCCAAGTCATTAATAATCTGAGTCAACTCCTGTTTACCGTTGGTAACACAATCATCTTCCGTGTCCAGAATGTCCTCACACTCAAAGTGCATCGCCTTCTCCTCCTCCTCCTCCCCGACCAAGTCCTCTGTGATGGAGCCCAGTTTGGGTGCGCTCCGGCTGCGCTCCACCGGGGGTTTGTAGTAACACTGTCCGTTCAGCAGCTTCCTGATGGGGACCAACGGGATGGTTTGCTCCCCTATGAGCTGCTGCTGCTGGTGCCTGGCATCGTCCCTCCGTTTTAGTCTTTTGAACTCAGCCAGCGCCGTGGCCGAGGTCTGGTACAGCAGCAGCGCCATAGCCTTTGCCTTCTCCGGCTTGGACACCAGCACTGCGTGGCAGCGCAGCATCACGGCCTTGTGCTTCATCTCGTGCCTGTAAACCCAGGCGAAAATCTTGGGGAGTCTCGGGTCCGCGACGCAGTAGGTTATCCGGTGTAGCAAGTACAAGTGTCCCGGCCTCCTGGCTTTGTCGTCCACATGCACCATCCGGATGCCCTGCGAGCTGATGGTCAGCCTCATCTTGGTGCCGTTCTTGCCCATCTCGCTCTTACCCCAGATCTTGCTCACCGCCACGTCCGTGCAGCCGTCCCCTTTGGACTGGATGGTGGTGGCATTCCCCAGGTACAGCACCGTGTACGTGGGGTCCTCGCTGGTGATCTTCACCTTTTTCCTCTTGGACTTGAACATGCTGCCCACCCTGTTGAGTGCGCTCTCGGGGCAGGACTTGGCGAAAGAGGTGAGCACAGAGTAGTTGAGGCTCACCGCATAGCCCTTCTGCTTGGACTGCTTGTCTTCCTCAATAAGGTCGAACTTGTTCTTCTTCCAAGGCAGCATTTTATTGCTGTTTCCAGTCAACAGCAACAAAGTCTACTGAGAGAGAAAGAAATAAAAAATAAACTCTGTATTACTACTAAATCCTAGAAGTGTTTATTTCCCTGTCACGTCATGTATGAGCTACTCTATGAGAAGTGAACGCAAAGACACCGTACTTCATCTGTTCATCCTCTAAAGTGCTCTTGTCCATTGTGGTGTCTCCCCTCGTCTTATCTCATCGCAGCTCTGAGTTCAGACTGTTGCTGAAGGACGAGCTGCGCGAATTATATACAGGGACAAACCATTTGAGTGAGACTGTAGGGGGGGGGCTGAACCAAATGAGAATAGACTTGTATTGGTTTGTAGATATTGAGTGTGTTTATTGATACAATACTCTCACGTTTGCCTGTTGTGTCCAAATGGCTACTGGATATTTTTTTGTACACAGTCAATATTTATTATTGATTTTCAAAAAATAGCATTTATCATAATAATAACATGTTATTATCGTTACTTTTTACAAGAAGTGGGAGTGTCAGTAAATAACTGTAGGCTGCTACTGAACAGAAAGTGTGAGAAATAAAAACATATACCAAAACCCCTTTATTGGGCTGTGGCAATTGTATAAGAGATGGAAACACAAGTAAGGTTGTTTTTCTCTATTTAAATAAGAATACTTGCACTTATCTTACTCCTATTGTTACTTTATTAGGCACTGTTTTTTTCTTTTGCTTCTTGAAAACACTTCTTATCTTGTATATTTGAACATTTTGCCAGATACTTATTACTCTGTTGTTTTAAAAACTGGACCCACTGGTTGTGAAAGCTAAATTGTAGTTACTGTACTTAGTGTAACTGTAATTTGCAGCATTCTCTGGCACAAGGATTTCCCTTGAGATAAATACATTTCTATTGAATTGAATTGAGTGCAAAGTAACTGTGTCCCCATATATTTTAGAACAATTTCTCTGATAAATTAAAGGATATATTTTTTCAAGTTGGATTTAAAACTTAATTTTCCCCTTGACATGTTTACTGAAAAAAATTAACTTGGAATATCAATTTTGTTCACTCTGATATCCAACATAAACATCATCAACTATCTTTCAAATCGCACTTAAAAGCAATTGTAATTTAAAATGAGAAACATGAAAATATGATAGCCACAACTGTACTTTGTCATCCATCAGCCAGTTCATCATAGTCGCGTTGCAATCTAGGAGAGCCCACTCTGATACAGCTGTTTTATGCTGCCATCTTTCGGTTGTTATCAGAACTGCGCTTGTTGTATTTGTGTATATGTTTATTTACCCTTTGCGCCTATCCTGTGCAACTTCCTACTTGTGCAATATTTAAATATTTTCCAGTACAGTTCTTCAGCACTACGTGTGTATTATCCTGTATGATCTATCATGGACATACAGTATCCATATTACTGAAAGGTGTGTATTGTGTATATAGGCTAGCATTTATTCTAATTTATTTCATCTTATGTCATCTTGTTGTATTCTTATTTGTATTTTTATTATTTGTATAATTTCCCCCTTCCCTTTTCTTTTGCTTTTTGACTCTTGAGCTGCTGTAACTTATCTTTAAACTGACATGAGGAACGAATTTTGGTACTGTCCCGATTTCCTTCAGGGCACATTTGATAGCTGGACAAAGAAGCGGACCGTACCATTGCTACGTCAGTGTAGATGCTTACATTAAAACAGATATTATCTCGAGTTGAAGAGGTTAATTATACAAATGCAGTAGCGGAATTTGTAACGATGTGAATTAAACGTATGAATCAATTTCCCGGTAGTTGTGGTCGAGTCGTCATCATATGAGGCTTGATGGTTTGGCCCACTTCCGGTTCTTACGACAACAACGTTTTGCACATGGGGTACAGTAGCTAGAGACATATAGCGTTTGGACCCTTCGGATATTTAACATTTCAGGTTTTTGTGAAGTTTAAATCATATTACAGACGTGACAAAGTCAGAAGTTAGCATGGGTAAGAAGAAAGCAGGCGGAGGATGCGGACTGGGCCGAGCTCTGATAAAGGAGAGACTGCAGACAGGCCGAGGAAACAAGAGGGGCGACACCTGGGTATGACATGGCAACTAAGTTAACATGTTAAAACGAATCATAGAGGATAGTTTGCTCACTGTTCATAATGTATTATGAAGTTCAAGTTCACTGACATCCCTGTGTGATCTGCCACTCAACATGTGGGGTCCGGGAGAGCTGTCAGTAGTTCTCAGAAGTCTTGTTTGTTGCTTGTGCCAAACTCCCTTGAGAAAATATCATTTTATCAAAGCTTTGGATATCAGCAACATGAGGTATTCATATTAATACCTTTTCGTAATAAATATGTTCCTGTGTTAAATTCGGCATGGAGATAAATTACACAGGAGCATTATTTTTGCCATACAATCACAAGATTACTCAGAACTGGCTCAAAGACTCTTCTACTATTACCCATGGTATATTATCATACAAGACGAAGTCTGGTTTGTTGCTTGCGCCAAACTCCTTTTAAGAAAATGTCATTTTATCGCTGCTTTGCATATCGGCAACATGAGGTATTCATATTAATATCTTTTCATAATAAATATGTTCCTGTGTTAAATTCGGCATGGAGATACATTATACAGGAGCATTATTTTTTGCCATATAATCACAAGATTACATAGAACTGGTTCAGAGGCCCTACCACTATTACCCATGGTATGTTTTCAAGACAGTCATGTAAAACAAACCACCATGACAACTGTTTTGGCAGAACACAACCGAGTTTAAGTATATCCTCATGATAGTCATTGTCCATGATTTTTTTTTCTGTAGTAAACACTGTAACCCCAGACTAATGTGTGGTTTGCATTTGCAGCTCCACACCAGTGAGCTGAATGATGGCTATGACTGGGGACGACTGAACCTGCAGTCGGTGACAGAACAAAGTTCCATGGATGACTTTCTGGCCACTGCTGAATTAGCAGGAACAGAGTTTGTTGCAGGTAAGTGATACCTCACCTGATCTCGTGCGAAGTTCTTGGGTTAAATGTTATACATGTATGTTGTGGCCAGAGATTGTCAAAAGGTTTTATCTATCAAGCATTGCAAGGTGTACTTATAGCCCCAGCACATGCCATTCTTTGGCACAGTATATAAACATCAAACTGAATGAAGATATAGTAGCTGATCGTTGGCTATCAAAACGAATTCACACTGTTTGCTGCACAGCAAATTTTGGGGGTGTACCTGTTGGTACTGTGTCTATATAAAATATGCTTATTGCTTATGTTTCTAATAGTGTAATAATTGAGCACATGGACTTTAAGGGTCACAGTGTGTCTCACCCTCACTGCTTAGAGAATCACAGGTAAATTGTTCTTGTCTTCTGAAGGAAGTTTGAATTTGGGCAGCAGCGTCAAGGGTTCTGTCTTGTCTCAACTGCTGTTTTATCTGTTGCACCTCTGCCCTATGATGCCACTGCTGCCTCTGACTGTTCCTTGCTTTGTTTCCTTAGAGAAACTCAACATAAAGTTTGTTCCAGCGGAAGCAAGAGCAGGTTTATTAACAGCTGAGGAGAAAACCAGGCTGAAGAAGCTGCATGAAGACAACAAACACTTCCTCAGGATTCCTCGTCGGTAAGTAGATGAGTTCTGAATTTTATAAATTCCTGTGTTGTATGTTTTGCATTTTAAATTTTCTGATATCTCGCTCCCAATATTTAAGCCCTCACTGGGATGAAAGCACCAGTCCAGATGCGCTTCAACAAGCAGAGAAAGACAGCTTCTTGGAGTGGAGACGAGAGCTTGCACAGTGTGTAATATTCTGTAACCTTTGCTCTTACAAATATATTGTTGCATTTTTACTGTTATGTACAAAATCAAGAACAGCATATGTGGTTACAGTGTAGGATTATCAATGTCAGCAATCTAACTGCAAGTGTTATCTGTGAAGGCTGGAAGAGGAACAGAAGTTAATTCTCACCCCATTTGAGAGGAACCTGGAGTTCTGGAGACAACTGTGGAGAGTGATCGAGAGGAGGTAAAAAACAAAAGTGGTGTACAGTTGTCACCTTTTACCTGTGTTTAATGAGGAATGTGTTCTCCTTAAAGTAAAACTGTTTCCATGTTTTTTCTGCAGTGACGTCGTCGTTCAGATTGTTGATGCCAGAAATCCTTTGCTGTTCAGATGTCTTGACCTGGTAAGTTTGTGAGACAGAATTGCTTTGAGGGGAAATAAATGTTGCTAGTGGATGTTACTAAACTGTGACTACGTCGTTCAGTTTTTCTTTTCTTTTTTGTATTTGGGCACACATACACGTTCTAAATGCGTTGAATGACTTTTTGGATTTGTTTTGCGCAACTATTGTTTATCTTAAGAGTTTTTTCCTCAAAGATTTGTACATTTCATTTGCTCTTACTGTAGTCATTTTTAAATAAGTAAAGGGATGAAATGAAATTAGAGAAACAAACTGTAGAAATACTGCATAAAGGTAAACTAAACACTTTTCTTTTCTGTGCTGCCAGGAGGCGTATGTAAAGGAAGTGTCAGAGCATAAGGTGAACATGCTGCTGGTGAACAAGGCCGACCTGCTGACCAGGGAGCAAAGGCGAGACTGGGCCAGACACTTTCAGAAAGAGGGGCTGAGGGCAGTTTTCTGGTCGGCCCTGGCTGAGAGCGACAGACTGGATGCAGAGGAAAAGGTGAGGAGGTGGAGGAGTGAGAAGCCCCACTCTGAATACCGCTTATCCTGTTAAGGGTTGTAAGGGGGCTGGAGCCTATCCCAGCTGACATTGAGTGAGAGGCGGGGTACACCTTGGACAGGTCACCAGACTATCACAGGGCTGACACATAGAGACAGACAACCATTCACACTCACATTCACACCTACGGACAATTTAGAGTCACCAATTAACCTGCATGTCTTTGGACTGTGGGAGGAAGCCGGAGTACCTGGAGAAAACCCATAAGACAGAAGGGCTCTCCCACCTCTGGTTCGAACCCTCTTGTTGTGAGGCGACAGTGCTAACCACTGAACCACTGTGCCGCACTCTGAATATAACCTGTAAATTCTCACGCATCTGTTAATACATTTATTCCAACTATCGCTTTTCAATATTGCAACATGCACGTTTCAGGCAAGACCTCATTCCTCAATGTGTATTTTGGCAGTGTCCCAAACAATATGCACAGGTGGGGTTAATTATAGGTGATGCTAACTGGCAGAACCAGTATAACAAGTAGATCCCAGCAGGAGGAGCTGCAACCTTTCCTAGCACAGAATCTCATGGTATGAACTACTAAAACAACAAATAACCAAGAAACACAGATATAATCACTTTATAAAACACATCCCCTTGGTGACGAGGGTGTCAGGGAAATGCATCCATGACACCTCACTTTGGAGAATGAGGCTTCTTCATCACCACCTCTCTGAGGAATATTTGATAGAACCATTGGATACATTTCGTTAATGCTCACATCCCCAGTGGGATGAATGAGGTTTCATTTGCTTGTTTTATATGAAGTGAATATATTGTTATGACCTGGTCGTTTAGGCCACAACAAAGAAGGGAGGGCCACACAGAAGGCTTAAGTTTTAAACAATGATTTTACTTGAAATTATAACAAATAATTACAAGAACAATAAAAAGGTATGAAATGTTAAGTCAATAACCAGTATGAGACGGAAATGTTGGATACAATGAAAGCCATATATGTGGGGGCGTCTGTGTGTGTGTGTGTGTGTGTGTGTGTGTGTGGTACAAAACAAAATAACCAAACCAAACAGAAACTGGCAGGATCTTGGCTGTCCGGGTAAGAGAGGGAATGAACTGAGGAAGCCTGCTTTTATAGACTTCCTCACAGGCGTAGCCAGCCAGCATTCTCAGATAGAGGTGGAGCCTCCCAACAAGCAGAGGTAGAGCTTCCCAGCAACCAGGAAGGTAAATGAACAGGAGATCAGCATAGCAGACAGCAGAGGGCCTTGCAAAGCAGCAGTGAAACCAGCCCAAGCCCAGCACCTGTAAAAGACAGCAAACAGCCAGCCAGACAGGAAAACAAAACATGGCCATGGCCATCACACTTCCCCCCATAAAAACGAGACCCTTTAGGGTTTTCGTAAATGTCCTCTCTAGGTCCGAGACAGAGCATCTGCCATCACATTCTCCCGACCTTTGATATGACAAATGTTCAGAGTAAATGGTTGTAAGAATAGTGACCAGCGCATAAGCCTTTGGTTATTGTTTTGCATACTAGACAGAAAAGTAAGAGGGTTATGATCAGTGTACACAGTAATCGGCATCATTCCAAACCCCACATACACGTCAAAAAACTGAAGGGCCGAAATTATTGCCAGAGTCTCCTTCTCAACAACTGAATAGTTCAAGTGGTGACATTTGAACTTACACGAGAAGAAACAGACTGGATGGTCAATACCCCCTTCACCCTCCTGTAGAAGTACTGTTCCTGCCCCAACTCCGCTGGCATCCACCTGAATCTTGAAGGAGTTTTCAAAGTTAGGAGCTGCAAGCACAGGAGAGCAACAGAGAAGGTTTTTCACAGCAACAAAAGCAGCTTGACACTGGGGAGACCACTCAAATACAGCTTTCTTGCTCAAAAGGTTAGTTAGAGGAGCTACCACAGTGGGAAAGTTTTGACAAAGTGATAAAACCCCACCAACCCCAAAAACCTCCCCAGCTCTCTTTTTGTTGTTGGCACAGGGTACTTGTCAATGGCTTCCACTTTAGCCCTCACTGGACATACCTGCCCATGGCTCACAACTTTACCCAGGTATGTCACACTGGCCTTGGCAAATTCATATTTTGACAAGTTAACTGTCAAATTGGCCTCCACTAGGCGATCAAACAGAGCCTTGAGGCGTGGAACATGGCATTCCCAGGAGTCGCTGTACACAACAACGTCGTCCAAATATGCAGTGCACCCAGAAAGCCCCTGCAAAACACTGTTCATTAGGCGCTGGAACATAGCTGGAGTGTTCCGCAACTCAAATGGCATGACATTGTATGCAAACAACCCCCCAGGAGTAATGAATGTACAAATTTCTTTTGCTCTTGATGTCAACAGCACTTGACAGTAGCCCTTTAAAAGATCCAGTTTTGTCACAAACTTTGCATTCCCTACCTCGTCCACACAATCTTCAATGTGGGGCATTGGGAAGCAATCAGGTTTTGTAACTGCACCTTCCTGAAATCTGTACAAAATCTGTCAGAATTGTCCTGCTTTAGGACCAGTAAACATGGTGAAGCCCAGCTGGATGATGTCGGCTCTGCTATACCATTATCTATCATGTACTCCACCTCCTTCTCCATGCGGTCTCTCTTCTCCATATGAACACAATAGAAACGTTGTTGAATGGATGTCGTATCCCCAACATCTATGTCATGCTGGATAAGGTGAGTGCGTGATGGAGTGTCTGAAAACAGAGATAGGTGGGAATTAATCAACTGAACTGTTCGTTGAGGACCTGACAAATAACTCAACTGAGCCTCCAAGTTGTTTAAATAAGCTGAGTTATTTAGTTTCCCCATAACACTCTCCTCTGATGGGGCCACAAAGTCTTCAGATGACATACTAGCCAACCTTGCAACAGCCAAGACAACTTTGGACTCACCCTCTTGCAGTGATGCAACACTACCCCCCTTCACAGCCCCAACATCTGCCTGCCCAGCATAATATGGCTTCAGTAGATTGATATGACACCATTGAACTTTCTTTCTTCTCTCAGGGGTATGGATAAGGTAGACGCACTCAGACATCATGCTCTTAACTGTGTATGGTCCATGAAAAGGACCATGCCTGAAAAGGAGAGCCTACAATTGGCAGCAGTGCCAAAACGTGATCACCTGGCTGAAACTGGCGAGCTTTAGCCTTCTGATCAAAAAGATCCTTCATTTTCTCCTGAGCCACACCAAGCTTCTTCTGGGCAGTTGTACAAGCAGTATACAAACGGCAACGAAAGTCATTCACATAAGTCAGAATGTTGTCAGGAGGATCAACACTTTTCCAGTGATCACTTAAAACTGCCAAAGGACCACAGACTTTGTGACCAAAAACCAACTCATTAGGGCTAAACCCTGTACTCTCTTGGCAAACCTCTCGCACTGCGAGCAACAGCCAGGGAAGACCGCCCTCCCAATCATGGGACAGCTCAGTACAATAAGACCTCAGCATTGACTTCAAAGTTTGGTGAAACCTCTCCAGAGCTCCTTGAGACTCTGCATGATAAGCACTTGAGATATTATGTTGCACCTGAAGATGCTTCAGCACCTGAGCAAAAGTTCGAGACATAAAGTTACTTCCCTGATCTGTTTGTATGACCTTTGGAATGCCAAATGTGGAGATGAAACTAGTCAGAGCTTTTATCACAGGCTTAACCTTAATAGAGCGTAGAGGAAACGCTGCTGGGTATCTAGTACTCTTGCACATAATAGTTAACAAGTAACAGTTGCCATTTTTACTCTTTGGCAGTGGACCCACACAATCCACAAGCAGGTGCTCAAATGTGTCCAATTACAGCAGGTGCTGTAATTGGACACAATGGAGCTGGCTTGATCTTCTGGTTGGGCTTGCCAGTCAGTTGACATGTGTGACACATTTTACAATGTGCTGACACATCACGCTTCAACAGAGGCCAAAAGAAATGAGGAAGCACATGATCATAGGTCTTCTTCACTCCAAAGTGCCCAACCACACCATCATGTGACATGCACAACACCAACTGCCTGAATGCAGCTGGCACCACAACCTGAGTCACCTGGTCGACTTCCACATTGTCAACAACACGAGACCATTTCCTCAGCAGCACGCCCTCTTGAAGAAAGTAGCAATATTTCAGCTCTCCTGCCTTGCTCATAGGGCAAACCATGTCAAACAGAGGTGTTAAAGTGGGGTCTACTGCCTGCTCTGAAATGAGCTCCTCTCTACTGATGGATGGCAAAGGGCAAGGGCACAGCAAAGGCTTGTCCTAGACTTTCTCAGGCAGCTCCCCCTGAGAACACAACTGTGAGGAATCAGCTTGTGTTGACTCCCCACTGTTGTCTGAACTAGCCTTGCTCATTGCTCGAGTCACAGCACACACAATGTGAAAACATTTGGATTTGAAGACAACAGCAGATGAAGTGCTCATGTGGATTGCAGTATCATGGTATCCAGGAAGGTGCTCTTTGGTCAGGAAGTGTAGTACATCTTGAAAAAAACAAAATCCAAGGCAACTCTTCTCTGGTGCAAAAGTTAAAAGGCCTTTATTAAATGGCTAGTTCATGAAGCCCTGATGAAGGCCAGTGAGCATGGCCGAAACATGTTGGTGATTTTAATGTTCATCATGAACTAGCCATTTAATAAAGGCCTTTTAACTTTTGCACCAGAGAAGAGTTGCCTTGGATTTTGTTTTTTTTTCAAGAAAACATTTGGATGTTGTCTTGCACACTGATCCAGCTCAGCAAAACACCTAGGTGAAGTTGTCACTACCAGTGGTGGTGGAACATCTCTCCACACCTTCGCCCCAGCCAAGTCATTACCCAGGATAATGTCCACTCCGTCCATAGGCAATAAGTTGCAAACCCCCATGACCACTTCACCATTAACCAAGTCAGAAAACAGGTTAAACCGGTGCAAAGGTACAAATAAGGGGACCAAACTAATGCCAAGAACTGGAGTAGTACCACCTGTGTCAGTAGCTGATGAAAACGGCGGTAACTCCTTCAAGATGAAACTCTGTGATGCCCCTGTATCTCGCAAAATTTTAACAGGCCTCCGCTCACCATCACCAAGAGAGACGAAACCCTCTGTCATGAAAGGGGCATAAATATCATCATTCTCCTTTGGCAACACTACAGGAGTTGATTCAGCCACCACTTGATACAACTTTGATGACACTGGAGCCACAAGACCAGCAGACTTCACATACACACTAGACTCAGTTGAACTTCGATCCAACCTAGAAAGCGGACATTCCCCTTTCCAGTGACCTTTATTCTTACAGGAATGACAGACCCTCCCCGGATCAAATTTCCCATCTGTCCCTGGAACACTTCTGACACTGGCCTGAGAACCTTGCTGAGCCCAAACAAATTTGTCTGGATTAGACCTCCCATTCTCTTTTTTCATGACATTTACACCATATTTACACTGTTCTGAGCCATCAGCATGGGTCAACACATATTGATCTGCTAAGACTGCAGCTGCTGAAGCTGTCTTAACCTTGTTCTTATTAGTATACACTGCAGTGTGGTGTGGAACAGAGTTTTTGAATTGTTCCAAAACAATGAGATCACTCAAATCCTCATAGCTATTTAGAGTAGAGGCAGAGCACCAGCGAGCAAAGTGAGCGCTTGAACGCAACACAAGTTCAGCATGAGTGCCGTGCTGAGCTGCTGTGCGAGCAGCATGTGTGTTTGTGCGTAACAGCAGTCTGTTGGTTATTTACACAGTGTCCATAACAATAACTTTGTCAGCTGACAAACTGCACCGGGCTCGGGGTCAGGTTTGGTCAGGAAAACGCGGCCCGAGCCGCTCTAGCGTGCTCACCTGTGTGTGTGGCAGAACTCCGCCGTGCGCGATACAGAGAGCAGAGGAGAATTGTTAACGCGTGACCATGTAGAGACAGAAATGACACAATGACATAACACCATAAATAGTATATTGTTATGTTATTATATGAAGCGTTCGTCGCGCAAAATAATATTAATGGGCGCTGTGGGCAGGACATTGTTACACCGCGTGTGCCTGTGACTTCAGGCAGAGAGACCGCTGCATCAGAGCCGAAGGAGCACGTTTTAAAATACATTTATTTTATCAATTAGTTATTAACTTTTACTATTTTTAGCAACTTGCCCGATCGGACAAGTGAGTTGTTAGTTTACATGCCCGGCCTTGAGTTTTACTTGCCCCGGGCAGTCGGGCAATCCTTATTGTTGAGCCCTGTGGGGGAACAAACAAATGCTCCAGCCAGAATGACAGGACTATCTGACCAAAACCCTCCTGCACCCAAACACTGTCTGAACACATGCACCCTTCTGCAACTACAAAAAAAATTACTCTAAAACACCAAACTACTGCTCACTGAAAACTAGGGTCTACATTTTCCTACCCTCCAGACCTCATTACACAAAGCAAACCATTATCAAACAAAAGCAAAACTACAAGCTACTATGGCCCCCCCAAGCATTTTTCCTAATTATTAATATTAATTAATATTATTACTTTCATTAATGTTGTTGTAAGCTACTGTCATTACCGTCTGTCCTGCATCTCTCTCTGTCTCTGTCTCTCTCTCTGTCTCATTGTGTCATACAGATTACTGTTAATTTATTATGCTGATCTGTTCTGTACGACATCTATTGCACATCTGTCCGTCCTGGAAGAGGGATCCCTCCTCAGTTGATCTTCCTGAGGTTTCTACCATTTTTTTTCCCCGTTAAAGGGTTTTTTTGGGGAGTTTTTCAGCTGTGAGGGTCCAAAGGACAGAGGGATGTCGTATGCTGTAAAGCCCTGTGAGGCAAATTGTGATTTGTGATATTGGGCTTTATAAATAAAACTGATTGATTGAGGCAGACTGACAGGTCTGATATGTCTTATTCACTCAGCTGCTGACTTGTTGAATGATGGCGAGTGGATTTAATAATAGTGATAATAATGATAATGATGCTTTTAACCTCAGATTGCTCTGGAGAAATGTGTCTGAATAATCTTGCTTGTTAGCATCTTCAGACTTTGATGAACATCTCTTCCTCCAGGGCATGGAAGTGGACGATCCAGAGTGTGAAGAGAGTGACCCAGAAGAGGAAGGACAGCCAGACAATGAAGACTTGGCCCAAAAAGGTGCAGCTAGAGAGGAAGACATGAAGGTAGCAGAAGAAGAGGAGGTAGATGAAGAGGGAGAAGAGAGTGCTACAGAGGAAGAGCAACGGGAAACAGTGTCTGTAGATGAGGAGGACTGGTTCACCTGCTCAGAGGATGAACAGGAGGAAGGGGCTGCTGTTTCATCCAGTCAATCCTCCTTTCACAACTCCAGCCGTCTGCTGCATAAAGATGAGCTGCTGGACATGTTTATGGCTGTTCACAGTGGGCCCAGGTGTAAGGACGGACAACTGACAGTGGGACTGGTGAGTGAAAAGTCAACACTATAAACCTTACACAGGCATCATCAACTGTTGTAAAGTGACTACATGTTTTTGTTGTGCATGACTTCAACAGGTTGGATATCCTAATGTGGGAAAGAGTTCCACCATCAACACTATTTTCAGGAACAAGAAGGTGTCTGTTTCAGCCACTCCTGGACACACTAAGCACTTTCAGGTACAGGACTACTTTTTAAACCTCTCATTATTGATCCGTCATTCAGTGAATCAACAGAAAGCTTATAGTGTGATTGTTTTTGTTGCCTTTTTTTTTACATGAATCACAGACTCTGTATGTGGAGCCAGGCCTGTGCCTCTGTGACTGCCCCGGTCTGGTGATGCCCTCCTTTGTTTCCACCAAAGCTGAGATGATCTGCTCCGGGATCCTGCCCATTGATCAGATGAGAGATCACGTACCTGCAGTCTCCCACATATCCTCTGGATGATTCTGGCACAGAATCCTTCAGCAGCTTTGTGTGCTATATGTAGAGTTTCTAACATGCATTTTCAGAAAGTGAAAGTAGAATTTTTATGATGGGACATAGGGAATTGAATTAAAGGCCTGTGAAAATAATTAGCAGTATGTCCTTCAGCAGGAGTGGGAGCAGTAGATTCCCGAAAAACTTTTCCCCTAGGGGCAGAGCCTTGCGTCCTGCGTCTCAGAGAGCGTTGTGTGTTCCTGATGCGCACTCTTGTTTGCTCGCATAGAGACAAGTCATCACTTTTTGGATACGCTAGCTAAACTGTGACTTAGAGTTGTTTATTAACTTATTGGGGGCTATATTCTGATATCAGTGCTGTATCTTGCATCAGCATGCTTAACAAGGCACACTATCAGTTTCCATGTATACAGGTGTGAGACCAAATACACAAATTACAGGAAGTCATAATCGTGTAGTGTTTGTTATACTTGTACAGTGTATTATTTTTGTCGTAGTAGTTTTTGAGCTTAACTTTAATACTTTTTTAAATAAATCTTTTTATGCTGATCATAATTAAGTCCTTAACAGATTTGTCACGTATGTCAGTTGATCCCTCGGCAAGTGTTAGAGGGCACCTACGGCATCAACATCATCCGACCACGAGAGGATGAAGACCCCGACAGGCCCCCCACCTATGAAGAGCTGCTGATGGCTTATGGATGTGAGACTACCGCACATTTGTTGTGTTTGCATAGATAATAGATTAACAACAGGCCATTATTGTACTTAGCAGCATGCAGCTCTGTGTGGAGACAAGCTGTGAGAGTGACCTTTTATATCAAATGATAAAATGTAGGCTAGTATTTGCCCACGTAATGCTAGCTTTTATAATGTTTCTCTTGAATAGATTCTGATTATCCACTCATTTAACTGTTTTTTAAAGCACTCTGCTTTTAGAAGAGAGCAGTGATATATTGAATATGTGTTTCCATCTGTTTCAGACATGAGAGGCTTTATGACGTCGCACGGCCAGCCCGATCAGTCCAGATCAGCCCGGTACATCCTGAAGGATTATGTCAGTGTAAGTGCCAGACCTGAATCAGGACTCAAAAACTTGGTGCGAGTATATTTTTTTGCTGGTTTTGCGTACTTGTGTATAGTAGGTAAGGGTGAGAAGGGCACAGAGAACCATCCATTGAGTACCAAAATGTGTAGACGGTCTCTTTAAAGTCAACAGGCAACAACACACTGATTAAATGTTTAAATAACGTAAGTTATTTTAATCTGCCAATTGACACTAGTCTGTTAAGCTCACCTGCAGCGTCACCTACAGTCATTGTTAATGCACTGTGCTTCTGCTTTGTTTTAAAGGACGTCAGGGAGCTTTGGCCATTTAGCTGCATAATGAAGTAGCTGTATGTTAAATTATGTACATCCTCTCCCTAACACACTCTTCCTAATTATGTTGACTCTTTAAAGGGAAAGCTACTGTACTGCCACCCTCCTCCACATATTAACGCTGAAGACTTCCAGCCACAGCACAACAAGTTCCTGAATAGAGACACGGACTGCTGCGACCTCTCCGCTACAACAAACAAACAGAAAATCAAGAGAATTGAAAATGTGGTCGACAAGAACTTCTTCCATCAGGTACGATTCATCTACAGTCTTCTTGTTGGTAAGAAAAATGCTGAAATAGTAGTTATTAGGTATCATAGAATAAAAGATACTCTGTCTCTATCTCCAGGAGAATGTGCGGGCGCTCTCCAAGGGGGTTCAGTCCGTCATGGGCTACAAGCCAGGCAGCGGACCTGTCGGCCCAGGGAAAGCTGGATCAGAGGCGGTGGTGGGAAAACCCTGGAAAAAACACGGCAACAAGAACAAGAAGGAGAAAGTGCGCCGTCTTAACAAGCATCTGGACGCCTGATGATGATCTGAAATCAAAGAACTTTTAATCACGTCATTTCAGCAGGAATGGAAAAACCCTGAACTACAGCTCACACGTGATTCCAAAGGAATTAATGCTGAGCAGTGTTTGTAGGTAGATGTAGGCCCCTTAATCCTGTGAATATGGAAAGGTCACGCTGTCTCAATATGAATATATGAGGTGCATGATCTGTCATGTGCCGCTCTGGATAGAGTATCATATTGGTGCAATGCATTCCATCAACTGGATCACTAGTTGTACACCAGATCTCAACACGGTGTTTGGAAAAGGACTCAACATCCAAAGGGTGTGGATTTTCTTAGACATTGAACAGTACAATTTGTATTTTGAAGATGTTTTAAAAGACACATCACATAGTCTACATTAACCAGATAAATACTATATGTTTGATACTGCTTTATCCAAATTTATATACAAATCTCTTTTTTTGCCAATTAAATCACATATTTAAAGAATTAGCAATTAAAATAATTGACTTCAGATTTCCTTTTGAGTTAAAAAATGAACAAAGATTTTAACAACACTTGTTTTTGCTCCTGCTTTTCACAGGTTTAAGTTAAAGATCTCAGACTTGATGCACTCAATAGATATATTTCTCCTAATTTTTGGTCGTAAATGTGATAAAATCGACCTTGACTCGCGTCAGTGACGCCGCCGGTGTGTTTTGGCCTCCAGTGAGCACCCACCTGACAGGTGTGGCATAACAAGATGATGACTAAACGGCATCATTACAACACAGGTGTGTCTTGGGATGGTCATGATTAAATGATCACTTTGACTGCACAACACAATGCCACAGATGTTTCAAGCTTTGAGGGGGCACAAACTGTCTGCTGGAGGTTCGTCATCCTCAGCAGGGTCTTGACCTGACAGCAGTTTGAGTGACTTGAGTAAGCAACTGCTCTCTGTCACTGGCCTCCGACACTTTGGATTTTATTGATGGCAGTTTGAATGCACAAAAATACTGTCTTGAGATTCTGAGACCCTTTGTCATGCCATTCATTGCCACCATGACCTCATGTTGCAGCATGATAACGCACGGCCCTATGTTGTCAGGATCTGTGCACAATTCCAGGAGGCTGAAATAATCCCCTTATTGCATTGCCTGTGTCCTCACCAGACATGTCATGCACTAAGCATGTTTGGGTTGCTCTGGATCGGCGTATACAACAGTGTGTTCTGATTCCTGCCAATATCCAGAAACTAAACATTGCCATTGAAGAGGAGTGAGCCAACTCTCCAAAGGCCACATTCAACAGTCTGATCAACTCTATGTGAAGTTGATGTGTCACACTGCATGAGGCAAACGGTGGTCACACCAGATACTGACTGATTTTTGGGGGTATGTGTGCCCCAAAAAATGCTTTTCTGTAGCTCTAGTCATGTGAAACCCAAATAAAGGCCTTTTTTTCAAGACAAACTGCATATTTCAGAGTGGCTTTTTACTGTGACCATCCCAAGGTTAGGATGCTGTTTAATCAACATTTTGATTTGCTACACCTGTCAGGTGGATGGATTACAAGGAGAGGTGCTCATTCACAGGGATTTTAATCAACCAAAATTTGAGAGAAATATATCTGTTAGGTGCACTCAAAAAAACAAGGGTCTTAGATTTTTAACTTAACCTGTCAAAAATGGGAGCAAAAAAGTGGAACCTTTAAATTTTTGTTCAGTGTATTTAAAAAATTATTAATCTAAGTGGGTATATGCATTCATGTAGGGGTACAACTCTTCTCATTAGAATTTAGAATACCTCGACTTCAGATGCCCTTAAGTTTAAAACCAAACCAAACATAACTTTACAATAGTTGAGATAAAAATGTTGGCTGCCAAATTTACCAGTAAGACTTTTATTTTGAAATTTACAAACCATAATCCCATATATTTTGAGTCTTCCTTGATAATACTTTTACCACAAGATGTACAAATAAAGATTTTGCGAAGAGGAAACATTTACTTAAATCTGGTGCCGACTTGTTCTTACGCTTCACTTTCTCTATCCAGCCCTCTCTTATTAAAATTAGTAACCGGAAGTTATATTTTCCCTGACTTTACACTGGTGCTACGCAAAAAAATGTCTCTACGCTGTGAAAAGAGATGATTCGTTACAAAATGAGATTTATTCTAAAATACGCAGTATAACCTTAGTTTATTTCACAGACAAAACCTACATTGTTCAGATTTAAACGCTACTGGTGTTTTTTTTTTTTTTTTAAAGTTCCACCGGATGTAGATGTTGTTAATAACCCCCACATTAGGTTCAGTTAGGGTCAGGATCTACGAAAGGTACACAGCACATAACGTGTCTCTGTCATTCCCGTGGTGTTTTCATACAGCCTGAGGTAAGTTCACTGACATGTGAATGATATATTTTATTTTCAACAGTTTTAGCTGTTATTTCATGTCGCTACAATACCGTCGTTTGTAGTGTGTTGAATACGGTTGACTAAGTTACACGAACGTTAGATACCAAACTGTTAGTGACGTGGATCAACTGATGACACTCAATATATCACATTTTTTATATTCACTCTGTCACGTGATTTGGGTGAGGTTTATGGCCAATTGGCCATTTTTATCTTGTTTAATCCGCGTAGTTCCCATTAATAATGGCAGAAGAGTACGTTGAAAAGATGTGTTTGACTCCAACATGTACACAGTGCGAGAAAACACTGTTAGTAATACGGAAATAATAGCTGGGGATGTGGAAAATCCTCCTCGTTATGCGGTAGGGTTAGGGTTAACCTAACCTAACTTCTTCACTTGAAGAGCCTGGTGACGCAAGGCTAGTTATGCGGTAGTAATATTTGAATGGAGCTCAGATTTAATAGGAAGCTGGGTGGCGCAACCAAGTTTTATTTTTCAGAGTCACTGAATAATAATTTAGTGTAAAATGGTCATCACAGCTTCCCGTAGTCTGTTATGTCACTTTTATTTGTCACTTTTTGTTTGTTATGGGGGGAAAAGGATTCAGTTTGTAATGATAGGAGCCACAAAACAAAAAAAAACCCTGCAGACTCTTACATTGGAGAAGCTGGACTTAAATGTGTCATTGTTATTTGATAAATTTCTTAAAAATCATAGAATATTAACACTGTTACTACCACACAACAACAATAGTCATTAAAAAAAATACTAAAATATTTAATTTCATTCCTAAAGATGTATGCAGCTTGCTGTAATGCACCCTTTGGCAGTTTCAGACAAAAATGTGTTATAAATGTTATAAATTCACATATGATGCTGTTGTGTAAATTTCTGCAAGCAAAATTCTTTTTGTGACAGCTTGTTGTTTTTCATTCAGCAATTATGTCAGCGAAACATGCCAAGCCCCACTTCAGCCAGTCTCTGGTGACTGAGATGATGAAGAGGCTCTTCGACCTGACGCCATCAGAAATCCACTCTCTGCCGAGCTATGATGACCAGAACTTTCATGTGGTGTCCGCTGAAGGTGGCGAGTACGTCCTGAAGATCACAAACTCAGAGGACAGCAAGAACTACGCCCTGATTGAGATGCAGGCTTATGCTATGTCTGTCCTTCACCAGAATGGACTTCCTGCACAAACAGTCGTGCCCACCACCTCAGGACAGCTCATGAGCCTGGAAGAAACAGGTATGAGACCAGTCCCACAGATCAGACCTGATGAATGATGTCAAGTAACACTGGCTGGAAAGAAAAACATCATATGGCATTATCAGAAAATTGCATCCATATAGACTAGACTGAGTGTCTCACAACAGCCTTACAGTCAGTGTTTGTCAGTCAGGGATATGTTAAATTAATTCTGCCTTGATTGATGTCCAAATGCTCTATAGCATTTTCTCTATCAACATTCAATCATGATTCATGAGTAAAACATACAGGTTGCACTGTAAATACTATTTTTGATGTATGAGAGTGTTGCATCCCGGCTCAAGGGAGCATCATAGTCAACAAAGTGTACTTAATTAAACAACAACAGGTTTTACATCTGCTTGCTCCTTTGTCAAAATAGGGTTTCAGCAGGTTTACATGGCACTCCTCTTCCAGCCTGAAACTTTAACTAAGTGATCACAATCACTGACTTGACAGTCAATCACATATGGCCCTCTATATTGCACCTGCTGTAGATCCAGACAGTGGCAAGAAGGCTCACACCTTATCTCCTGGGGAAAACACCCTCCGTTTGGCTTTTATCAAACCAACATTTTATTTTTTCTTGGGTTTGCTTACGTTTGTTTTGGCTAGTTCATATGCCCTATGGAGCTTTGACTGAAAGTTAGAAGATGAAGTTGGATCTACTAGCCATTTCTCTTTTAACACCTTCAAAAGGCCTCGTACAGTCCTGGGTCACTTCTCTTGCTGCAAAGAGAAGTGAAGGGACTCCATCATCCCAGTCTTTCTCAAACTCTTTGCAGTACGCTCTTAACATATTTTTCAGAGTCTGGTGAAACCTCTCAAGGGCTCCCTGGGACTCTGGGTGATAAACAGAGGATGTGATGTGTTGGACTGGCAACTGCCAAAGCACTTGAGAGAACATACGGGCCATTAAATTCGACCCTTGATCAGTCTGCACAATTTTTGGGAGGCAAATCACTGTAAAAAATGTGACAAGGGCCTTGAAAACTGTTGAAATTGCAATTTCCCTTAAAGGAACTGCATCAGGAATCCTGGTAGCTGCACACAGGATTGTCAGCAGGTGCTGGTTTCCAGAATTAGTATGGGGACGGCTCACACAATAAACCAAAACGTGCTCAAAAGACTCACCAACAACAGGAAAGGGACATAATGGAGCAGGAGGAATTGTTTGGTTTGGTTAACCCACAGTTTGGCATACATGACAAGTTTTATAGTGCTGTGCCACATCTGATTCAACGCCAGGGCAGTGAAAATGTCTAGTTTAAAGTTTATGACTCTTTATGACTCCCATCTGGCCTGCCAGACGATGATCATGTGCCAGATGCATCATATTAGAGCGATAAGCACTTGGAACCACAACTTGGTACACACTGTCCCAGCCATCTTCAGAGGTCATGTCAGGAGATGTCCACTTTCTCATAAGCACACCACCATCAGAAACAAAATAACCACAAGAAACATTCCTGGTGGCATCCTCTGAAACTGCAGTTTCAAACAAGGAGGCTAAGGCATCATCTTTCTTGTGTTCAGACTTGAGCTCCTCGTGGGAAGGAAACTTTTCATCCAACCCCAAATGGCCATCTTTGGCTAGGAAGGTGTGAGCAAGTGTGACGTCTGTGTCAACACTTTTAGCCAGAGGTTTTTTCGATATGGAACGGGTGGTGACACACACAGGGAATGTGTCTGGGTATTTTTGCTCAAGTTCATTTGGGCCTTCAGACATAGCAGGAGCGGCAAAACCTACAAGGGTAACAAGCAAAATCATTCCCTAGAATGAAGGACACACCTTCAGTTGGGATAGATGGACGCAGAGCCACAGCGACCTCTTCCAGAAACCAAGGCTGTTTAGAGAGTTAGAGTGTGCATTGGTTAGGGCAAGTAACCACCAAAGCCTTCCACAACAGCACTAGTCTCATGCAGACTCATCAGTAAATGGGAGGAAATCCTGTAAAGTTACTAACTGAAAAGCTTCACTGTCCCTCCAAATCTGAACAGGGCACTTTCTCTCAGGATCAGAACCAAGAGAAACAAAACCCTCAGTCAGGAAGGATGAACTGGCTATCTCATATTTTGGGCTCAGTGCCGGTATAACTTGAGGCAGAGTGGGACTCTTAGCTGTTTTTACTAAAGCTACTGGCTTAGAAGATTTTAGCTTCCTGCTCAAAACATGACATTCAGCGATGAGGTGGCCAGTGTTTTTCTACAATAAAAACAAGATTTTGCAACACAGCCCCTCACAGAAGATTTCCCAGGCAAAGTAGCAGGAGCAGGAGAAGAGCTAGCTCTGAGGGACATAGCCTTCCCTTTTGGCTCATCCTAAACTTTATTGAAGTTAGTCTGAGGAGTAAACATGAACTCATCTGCTAAAACAGCAGCCTTTTCACTTGTTGACACTTTATGCTTATTAAGATATGTACATATTATACCTGGCAGACAGTTCTTCTGCTTTCTCTGCATTTTGAGACTGGCACCATCTATTGAAAAATGTTAGTTTTTCCTCAGCAAACCCCACAAAAGTTTGCTTATCAGGCTTACAGAGGCTTCTGAATCATTGGTGATAGGCCTCAGGAACTAGCTCATAAGCCTTGACGATCGCATTTTTAACTGTATCATAATCCTCACTCTCTTGAAGGTTCAAAGCAGAACAGGAATCCTGAGCCTTTCCTACCAACACACTCTGGAGAAGCAGCGTCCGAGCCCGCTGAGGCCACTTAGAAACAGTTGCAACACGTTCAAAATGAGGGAAATACTTTACCATCCTTCTCCACAAATGGTTGAACCAGCATGACTTTAAAACATCAAACTCAGATGCCTCAGACTTGGCCAAGCTTCTAACGCAGCACTTTTAAGCTCCAACTCTTCGAACTGCTTTTCCTATAACACCAGCTCTTTTGACCTCAGCTGAAGAGTAGCATCTGAAGGTGAAGGAGAAAGATTTGCCGAATCCTTGGATGGATGTTAGTTGAGGCCTGTGGCGCAGGAGCAATCTAAAAAAGATAATGTTTGGTTAAAGTAGCTTTAAGGACATCTTTAATACTTTCTTTTAGGCATTTATCCTCAGGAGTAATCGATATTATAATAATGAGCACGTTTCAGCAGCTGGTAAATTGATCAAGCAACTCCTCTGATGGTACCACAATAAAGTCATCAAGGGAGGCCATATCTGAACCTGAACCACAACTAATGTCCAAACACTAAAGTCTTTCAAGAGGACACCAAAACAAACTAGCGTGCATAATGCACACTATCAAAAATGTCCACACAAACCGCAGCAACTCAAATGCTCTCTCTATCTAATGGCTATCAAAGCCATAGTCACAAAGATAGGCCCAGAACTAACCCATGAAGCTACAAAAGTAGCACCAAAATGTTACCAAAGTAGCTCCCATTCATCAAACAGAGCCTTCAGGCAACCACCAGCATCACCCACAATGACACGCAACTCAAGGAAATCTGGCCGACCAAAAGTCAAGTTAAATACTGAAACCTGACAAATTAAAAGCTTCACAATGTAAGTTAGGTTCACGGACACCACAACCAGCCAAGCTATTACTTACTCACCAAACCTCCTGTACCACCTGCCACCCAAGCATTTAGACTATTGACAGAGGTTTCTAGAATATATTAACTTTTAAATTGATGGAAACAAATCTACGTGATTGTGCTCTGTGAGTGTGTATTCACATGCTGAGTATCTGAAATTGACCCTGGGATAGATGCTGTTTCAGAGAGCTTAGAAAGTTAAGTGTAGAGCTACGCTGTGGGCACTCGATCAGTGGAGGAGACCAGACGAGACGAGACCAGACGAGGCAAGACAAGACTTTCTTGATCCCTAGAGGGGAAATTCAGGTGTTGCAGCAGCACAAAGACAGAAATAAGGCAAAAGTAATAATAAAGGTACACAGGTAATGAAATACATTAACATGTGCTGCCTCAACGCAAAACAAGATGAACATCTGTAGCTTCCATTTTACGTAATATATCAGACTGTGGCAGGTCCATGTCCTCAGCTATGTTAATACTCAAACACAGTAATGATAAGTGTGCCCCTGAGCAAGGCCACAGCATACAAGTCATGCTTTATGAGGACTAACAGTGAGAGGAATGGCTGTTAAACTAATCCTGTCGTTATCTTTGGCAGATTGCGGCTATGGCCCACAGAAGTACCTGGTGCGGCTGATGACTTATTTGCCCGGGACCACCATTTCCAAGGTCCCTTTAACACCACAGTTACTGTATGAAATTGGCAAGACAGCAGCCAGGATGGACAAAATCCTGCACAAGGTATAATGGTTGAACTTTCTTCATGGTACAGCTGCTAAGCTTTGCTAGGCAAAAAGTACTTGGGGCCCTGAAACACCAAGCTGATGGTCAGCTGTCAGTCAGTGTTAGGCCGTCGGTGAATGTCTGTCACCCTGGTTTTTGAGGTGTGTCACACACTGTTGGCGCTAATTGGTCCATCAGCTTTTTTTCATCCGATTGAGCATGTTGGATTGGCAGTTGAGCCGGCAGAGCCCGTCAGTAAATGAAATTACTCTGATTTGCAGTTGAGCTCAATGCACAAGAAGAGGAACAAAGTTGAGAGAACTACTCAAGTCAAGATGGAGTGAGATCAAACTTTTTTTTAGCCATTTAACTCATTAGCAAACACGGTTCATGAATTGTTTATGGAATTTTTGGCTAGTGGACTGTAGGTATCCCATGTTTTTTCAGTATCGGGTTGTGTTGGTACAGCTGAGGTACCAAACTCGAGGGCTTCAAAACAAGGGTCTATGAACCAACTGGTGACGTCATGGCAGCTACTTCCATTATTTTCACAGTCGATGCAACCGCCACCTGCTGGTATGGAGTTACTTCCTCTCACACAGGCGCAGAACGTGCTTGGTAGTTGGCCGTTGGCTGTAGTCTTTGCAATGTGTACAGTTACAATTTTTTGACTGAGACGCAGGTGACATGAGGCAATGCAACAGTCAGCCCTCGTTGCCACTAGTTCTTCGATGTCAGTTTGGTGTTTCTGGGCCTTGAGCTTACCTTTAATTCTGTCTTGTACTTTCTGTTCTGCCTTTCTCCTCCTGATACTATTATTGTTTTTTTCCAGATGGAGCACCCCCATCTTGGCGTGGTGCAGAGAGAGAATTTCATGTGGAGTCTGTCAAATGTTCCCCTCCTGGAAGGTTACATTCATTTATTAGATGGAGATCCTCTTCAGGAGGTTGTGAAGTCTGTCATTCATCACTACAAGACCTCTGTGATCCCTAAACGCTCCAATTTCCGCAAGTGTGAGTATGATATTTACTTATAAACATTTAGATACAGGAGCTGGCACCTTGTTTACTCAGCTGAGACTGGATACATCACTGAATACATGAGTGATAATGTACTTTGGTTCACACAAACATTTTATTTCTTCCATCTCTAAGGCATTAACCATGGTGACTTCAATGAACTCAATGTGCTTGTACAACCTGAGGGTGATGGCCACAGGATTTCTGGCATCCTTGACTTTGGGGACATGAACACTGGCTACTTCATCCATGAGCTTGCCATCGCTATCATGTACATGATGACCATATACCCAGAACCCGTAGATGTGGGTGGACCTGTCCTCGCAGGGTGGGAAAGTGTCCTTCCCCTCAACGAGGCAGAGAAGGATTGTCTCTATGTGCTGGTGCTGTCCCGCTTCTGCCAGTCGCTGGTTTTAGCTCGTCACTCCGTGATGTTGCATCCGGAAAATGAAGAGTATCTGATGATTACATCCAGGAGGGGCGTCCACATTCTCCGTAGCATCTGGGAGCTCGGAAAGGAGCAGGTGGAGAAGGTGTGGTTTCAGAGTGCTGCTCAGTTCACTGACAAGAAGTGAAATATTAGTATGAAAGCCATTCACCCTTTCAATGAACAACAGGGTGATTCTACTGAGCCCTTTTTTTGTGAATCAAGTGTAATTTTAAGATCACCAGTAAAAAGAATAGATTATGTTTCAACACTAAAAACATTTTACTCTTGAGATTCAGACATAATGTAGTAGGAATACTACACAGTGTCTGAAACCAAGATGACTAAGGTAGCAGATATAAAGGTAGCAATAGTAACAATAGATCATGTACTGTAAAAGCAAAATGTCTATCAAAGAAAGCATTTAAAAAGAAGATAGGGAAAAGTGCTTTATAGTGCCATTTATCATGTGTAATAAGTGCCTAAAGTCACAAGGGATTATACACTCCAGTGGATAGTCACGAGGGATTATACACTCCAGTGGATGTGTACCTTGGTGCTTCTCTGTATGGTAACAGGCCACTTGGCCAGGCATTGGATTGATTTTTATGACATTTCACAAAGAAAGAGACAAACACATCAGCAATGTAAGAGACTACAGCATCTCCTCTGTAACAGATTTTATACCTTGACCAGCCAGTTTCATTTGATTTACCAAGAATAAAGACAAATGTATTGCTCAGGTCACATGTCAACTGAAGTGCAATAATGTCCTGCTATATGGATTGTTGTGCACATGAAACCTTTGTACAGTTATACATTATGCTTCTCTGGGAAATCTACCTCAACTTTCAGACTGTGTGTTTTATACTTTGCCTGGGTCCAAATGTTAATTTAATACTGTTATACTGCTCCAATTAGACCAATAAACAAAAGAACAGCCCCTTAAATACTCGGTTGCTATTTTTTATATATACTTAAAAGTGTGTCATAAATGTGTATGAGTGGAGTGGTGAGAAACATAGTTTTTAACTCAATTTCTTCCAAACAGAAAAGGGCTTAAACGTGGGGAGTGAAGCTACACGACACTAAGAATACAGAGGAGACTGTCTAACAAGTGAAAGGGACAAGTATCTTTTATATTTACAAGTCAGTCAGAGTCTTGGTGACCCAGAGAAAATATTCTTGACCACTTGCAGGAACATTAGTGGTTATTTGCTTCAGGTTTGGAGTCTATATCATATTGTATAATTGCTGTGTATCACTGCTGTGTAACCAATTTAATATTTACCATTGCACAACATGTCATAAATAACTCTCCTCTCTTAAAGAGAAGTTGTACTTACTGTCACATTTTTACCTTTATCTGTTCCTCAGCTGACTAAAGGGCACGTCTGCATTTATCCAATAGATAATGTATTTTTATGGTCAGTGGACCTGCATCGTAAAACATCTTTTGAGTTCCTACACTTGTAAAACAGGAAATTGGTCAGTGTAGTTAATATCTAACTCATGTACAAGAAGTGCTGATTTTAAAAAAAAAAAAATACATCACGAGTGTGAAGTTCTTTGCATGAGCTTTGCTCAAGAAAGCCGCAAGCACTAATTTCACAGGCTGAGAAATCTGCCAGTTCTCAACAGACATGTTTTGAACGAGCACTACACTAGTGATAACAAATGAAACTGACACTTTAAAAACTACCATTAAAAGAACCATTACTATCGGAGCTTATCAATAGCGTGGTCTTCAATAATTTTGCCCTGGGGCCTGTTTAATACTGGGTTTCAGTACTCATACCTAGCTATACCACTCAGAGGTTGAGGCTGCCGATTGAATAGGCCATTATGTAATCATTTCATGCATTTCTGCAAAGAAAATTAGTGAAATTGTTAGATTTAAAGTTTAAAAATATCAAGATATAAACTTAAACGTCACAGAAAAAGGGAACGGACATACCTGAACAAAAGCTTTACTCACAGAGCCTTCACTTTCTGCTGAACAGCCTCATTCTGAGTTAGAAAAGTACACAGTTAAGACAGTTAAAGAGCTAATAGAACAATGGCAGAGCATCAGGGAGAAGAAAACACTAAATCTGTCAGAAATGAAGCCTGTTAGGTATGAATGATTGTTACAATTTGAGGAAAATACATATTATAGACATGAAATTATAAAAAACTTTTCCAATCAGGAAAACTGAACCCTGACGTTATATTCAGAAGAAACAATTGGCTCGAAATTCAGCCAAATTGCTCTTCTTAGTCAGAATTCCTGCAGTTATTCACTATTTGGGTTAATTCTACAGTTTGCTCTGTACTGTTATTGTAATGCATTGGATAGATATGAAATATCTATAAAATACGTCACGTAGTCAGGGGTTTTCAGTTTATCCAATGTAAGAAAAAAATGGGTTCCTTGAGGAAAAAGGTTAGGAACCACTGGTTTATGCCAGCGATCAACAACTGGAGATCTGAAGGGCACATCCGGAAGTAACTGAAGTTTTCTTAAATCAGGATTTAAAGGGTTGTAGACATGAATGTGACATTCAGAGAAGGGGCCCCGTACGGTAAACAGGATGTGGGTGAAGTAGGAAGATGTCTCCATCTAGTGTTCATCCGTCTTTCTCTTTAAAGAATTAGCTTTCTGAATCTCTACAGCCAAGCACTAACTCTGAAGCCATCAACACTTGTAGCCTATACATTAACCAAGTGTGCTACACTGAATGCGCAGTCTCTGCTTTACAATCTCTTTGTAATTTTATAACACACTTTTTAAAGAACTGCAAACACAACTCACTACTTTGGCATTACTTTAACAACTGTCTTTCCACATTGACACGTGCTGCCTAGCTCAAGACTACATTGCATGTGATGTGGTTTATTATGTGATGTGTGTGATTTATGGTCAAACCCACAAAGAAGGTGAGATTTAGCATAAAAATTTGTTTCTGTTTTTCTTCTTTAACACAGATGTTTTCTCATTTGTGTAATGTTATATGTTTTGTAATGTATGTAATGTAATGTTTTGCTGCTTTGGTGTAACGTTTTATAGTTGGTATGTGAAGTTTTGCAAAAATAGCCTATAGTCTCAAAGATGGTGCCAAAGCAATCAGAAAAAAACTGTAACATCATTTCACTAATAGAGTGGCGCAGGAATGAGTCCTTAAACCAATCAAACTGAAACAACTGCTGAGGGTTATTTTTGTTGCTTCCCAGGGTATTCATTCAGCCAGCCAATAGGTGGTGCACTTGACTTGCACTAAATATCCATAAAGCCTGTGGGAATCAGGTAATACAATACATCATAGAAAAGAGGGGATGTGGGAGACCTAAACCTGCTAACAGGATAAATCACCAAGATATAATGTTCCAGAGCAGAGAGCATGCAGAATTTGTGACACAGCAGTGACATACAGCAATTATACAATATGTTATAGACACAGAGAAATGGTGCTTTGTGTAAAATATGACACTGCAAAGACAACAGAAGACTCCAAACCTGAAGCAAATGACCGCTAATGTTCCTGCAAGTAGTCAAGAATATTTTCTCTGGGTCACCAAGACTCTGACTGATGTGCATGTATATATGATAGTTATCCCTTTTAATTGTTTGACCGTCTATCTCCTATTTATTCTCACTGAGTCATGTAGCTTTACTTCCTACGTTTAAGCCCTTTTCTGTTTGGAAAAAAACAGACCAGAGTTAAAAACTACAAATGTTTCTCACCACCCCACTCACACACATTTTAAGACACACTTTTGAGTATACATATTTGAGTCTTGAAAAGAAGATCCTGCACACTGCACTTGCTCAGCTTCATTTATTGATTATAGTAATGTTTTGGTTCCTCTGGACCTTCATGGTGTTCCCCTTTAACACCATTTTTTTTACAACACTGGTCTTCAACAGATAGTGCTCCGCCCATTTTATGTGCACAGGTGTGGGACAGTTAATCAGCTGTGGGTTTGTTTCTCAGTAGCTGACAGCAACATGTGTAGCATCTGCTACATTATATACCCAATATGAAAAAGAAGAAGAAAACAAGGGAACAAGCAAAACTGAAAAATCAGGCTCCTAACACAGCTAAGTCTGCATACTGAATGAACACGTCGACCTGGCAGCTTTATAAATCATTCAAAACTGTTGAACATTGTATAATCTGATGATGTACTTGTGCCTAGTATGTATTATAAGTTGGTCTTTTAAGATCCCAAGATCCTTTAAAGCATGACATGCCATGATATCTCATCATTTAATCCTCTGGGGGACAGTTTGCAGAATGAATATCTAGTATACTTCTTGCAGGTTTCCAATCAGTGACGCTTTAGTTTGAAGCTCTAATGATGATTGGGTGATTGGATGATGACAACCACTGGATAAGGCTCAACAGTTTACTTCAACACACGAAAACATGGTATAGAAACAATTGTCTAGTTCAAAAATCCAAAACTGTCCAAAATGAGAGTCATAAAGACAGAGGTAAAAAGAGATACAAGAGGTCAAGAAACTATGTGGCTCCACTCTCCACTTGTCTGACTGCAAGTAACTCTCCCAAACCCAAAGCTCCCCCTACTGGAGAGATGGTGAACAGGCAATTAAAGGTGCACAGCAACAACAATAGTACCCTAATCTTAAAGGTTACAAATGTAAATATTCATGAGATTTTATGCATTTAAAATCACAGCCACAGATCCATATACGTAACTAGTGTAAATGTAGTTTAACTTCAAAGTCCTAACTGCATAGATTGTACATTCTAACATACGAGCAGCTGCCAATCAGTTTAGCGAGAAATCTCGCGAGAAATTGAAGAACGGAGGAGAAGAGAGAGAGAAGCGCAACAGGTAGAGGACGAGAGAGGAGGAATGGCTGCTGCAAGGCTGCGTAGCTCTGGAGATTGGTGGTGTACCTGTGAATGCTGTGCCCCAGTGCCCACAGAAGAGGAATGCCTCTGTTGCAAGGAATGGGACCGGTTGCAGCCTTATTTTCAAGGTCTGGATGTGACCGAGGATGAGACACCTCCACCTGGAGTAGTATCCAGCTGGGCTTTATCTAGAGCTCGCAAGATTTCAGGCACGGTATGAGATCGCTGCTTGTTCTCGCGATATTTCGGCCGCGCTTTGGAAAGCAGAGCTAAATGGTAAACAAACATGGCAGCACACCGGTAAGGTAAGACAACACGTTTACATGTCGTTTTCTATATTTTCTCTGACATTTATCCTAACGATATGAGGCGGTCTTTGTGGAAAAAAAGCTTGTTTAGTGGACTAACTTTGCACTTGAAGGTTGCCCGTTCACGAACATTTTAACAGGTCTGACGCTACTATGCGCCCCGGCTGTATCTAGGCCAACGGCTAACATGCTAACTATTATTTTTATGTCACCAGTCACTTGAAACAAATTTAGGAGGATAGGAGACAGGTTGAAATAAACCGAAATTTCCCTTTAATTCAAGGTCCACACAGTTTAATACATTCAGGGCCGAATTCACAAAGAATGAACTGCTGCACTTCATTTGCACCCGCAGTTTGCTCCGTCTTAACGTCCTATTCCCAAAGGATATTGCGCTAATGATATACCAGCGCAAACACGCCCACAAAGTTTGGCAGCTGAGTGCAGTTTGCCCCTGATTGCAATAAGCCACACATGGCAAAGTATAAATGCTGGCTTTGCGCCAAGAACACCGTGGCAGAACAATGGCAGACTTTGTTTGGCAAAGTACTGAATACTGTATACCCTCATGTAGTGATGTCTGCGGGTGAGTCAGTCCAACAGTGTCGGATGGGTTGAGGCTGTGGATTTGACCAAGTCTGACCACTTTATCACTATTCCCTCTCACTTGTAGCTGTTTTTTCATTATCTTTTGAATTTAATATGAATTATGGAACCGTTTTTGTTCACGTTTGTTTCCCCCATTTCGTAAAATAAATTATTGAAAGTTGCTTTTGAAGTGTGTGACAGAAGTGCGTTTTGAGAACGACCGCAGACTGTCACCTGTTCAACGCATCAATATCTTCGGATGCCATTATAGTAATAATGATTATAATAATAATGTCAAAATATTATTTACAGACTGATTTAACAGACGATCACTGCTGCCACGATCACTGGAAAGTCTGAGTGAGAGGCTTCCACAGAGGAGCGCCCAGTTTGCACCAGCTTTCTAAAGATGTTATTTACTTCATTCAAACTGTGTGTGGCTATTAGCGCTGGTGTTAGTGAATTAGACGTTGTTTATCAATGAGGCTCATTTGCATAGAAAGGGGCAATTTTTGCACCAAATATATGCATATTACCTCATTTAAATACGTGCAAATAACACCGGAGCACCGAGACGCAATCTGCTTGGCAGCGCAGTTAGTGGAGCATTTCACCCTCTGCACGTGCTTTGTGAATTAGACGGTATCTGTTTGCTCCATTTTTACCGGTTTAGCAGCTGCAAAAGCCACGCAATCTTTTTGTGAATTCGGCCCTCAGTGTCATTCTTGCATTTCGCCATGTCATAGAGCTAGTTTGCTGGCTATGTCAAGCAGCTGTCCGTTAGTCACTGACTTCAAAATATGAACTCTGTGCTGGAAATTCACTGTATGTAAAAATAAAGTGTCTTTTTACAAACTTGACATCTTTGTGAGTCACTGGCAGTTCATTCAGAATGGACCTGCGACCCACCAGATGGGAACCACTGGTATAATGTGTCATATTTTTACTGGGAAGACATAATCTGTTGTTTTTTACTGGTGATTTTAAGATTACCCTTGATTTGAACAAAAGGCTCTGTGGATTCACCCTGTTGTGTGTTTAACTGAATGGTTATCATATTTTTCACTTCCTGTCAGTGAACTGAGCAGCACTCTGAAACCACACCTTCTCCACCTGCTCCTTTCCGAGCTCCCAGAGTTGAGGGAGAATGTGGACGCCCTTCCTGGATGAAAATGTCAGATACTCCTCATTTTCTGGATGCAACATCACGGAGTGACGAGCTAAAACCAGCGACTGGCAGAAGCGGGACAGCACCAGCACATAGAGACAATCTTTCTCTGCTTCGTTGAGGGGAAGGACACTTTCCCACCCTGCAAGGACAGGTCCACCTGCCTCTATGGGTTTTGGGTGCTCATTGATCATGTACATCATGATGATGGCGAGCTCATGGATGTAGTAATCACTGTTTATTTCCCCAAAGTCAATGATGCCAGAAATCCTGTGGCCGTCACCCTCAGGTTGTACAAGCACGTTGAGGTCATGTAAGTCACCATGTATAATGCCTTAGAGAAGGAAGAAATAAAATGTTTGTGTGAACCAAAGTACATTATCACTCATGTATTCAGTGATGTATCCAGTCTCAGCTGAGTAAACAAGGTGCCAGCTCCTGTATCTAAATGTTTATAAGTAAATATCATACTCACACTTGCGGAAATTGGAGCGTTTAGGGATCACAGAGGTCTTGTACTGATGAATGACAGACTTCACAACCTCCTGAAGAGGATCTCCATCTAATAAATGAATGTAACCTTCCAGGAGGGGAACATTTGACAGCCTCCATATGAAATTGTCTTTCTGCAGCACGCCAAGATGAGGGTGCTCCATCTGGAAAAAACATTAATAATATCAGGAAGTGGAAGGCAGAAGAAAAAGTACAGACACACCAAACTGATGTTAAAGAACATAGTGGCAACGAGGGCCAACTAGGGCATTCATTTTGGGCCTGAGTGAGAACAGATGGGTGTTACCATAATACCTCATGCAGGATTTTGTCCATCCTGGCTGCTGTCTTGCCAGCTTCATACAGTAACTGTGGTGTTAAAGGGACATTGGAAATGGTGGTTCCAGGCAAATAAGTCATCAGCCACACCAGGTACTTCTGTGGGCCATATCCACAATCTGCCATAGGTAAAGACAGGATTAGTGTAACCGCCATTCCCCTCACTCTTAGCCCTCATCTGTACTTATTTCTGTCTCTGTGCTGCTGTAACACCTGAATTCTCCCTCTCCGGTTTAATAAGGGCTTATCTTATCTTATCTTACCTTATCTCGTCTCGTCTTGTCTCGTCTCCTTGCCTCCACTGATCAAGTCATGAGCTCTCTGAAACAGTATCTATCCAAGAGTCACATATATCCTTGACTGACAAACACTGACTGTAAGGCTGTTGCTATGGATGCAATTTTCTGAAAATGCCATACGACGTCTTTCTTTTCAGCCAAATTAGAGGACATTTCTCTGTCAGAGTGTTAGTTGGCATCATTCATCAGGTCTGATCTGTGGGACTGGTCTCATACCTGTTTCTTCCAGGCTCATGAGCTGTCCTGAGGTGGTGGGCACGACTGTTTGGACAGGAAGTCCATTCTGGTGAAGGACAGACATAGCATACGCTTGAACCTCAATCAGGGTGGGGTTCTCACTGTCTTCTGAGTTCATTATCTTCAGGACGTACTCGCCACCCTCAGCGGACACCACATGAAAGTTCTGGTCATGGTAGCTCGGCAGAGAGTGGATTTCTGATGGTGTCAGGTTGAAGAGCCTCTTCATCATCTCAGTCACCTGAGACTGGCTGAAGTGGGGCTGGGCATGCTGCGCTATCATTATTGCTGAATGAAAACAACATGGAAAAGGATTTTGTTTACAGATATTAACAAAAGCATCATAACCCGTAATAAATTTATAATAAATAAATGCAATTAAAATTCAGATTTTTGTCTCAAACAGCCACAAGATGTATCAGGGCAAGCTGCATGCCTCTTTAGTAAACAAATTTAATTTTTTTCCATTGCTGTTATTTGATTTCTATGTGACAGATAATCAGCATGTTGATAAAACACCTTTATACCTTTATCAGCAACGTTAGTTGTACTTCATATCTGAGCCCAGGAAGACTGTTTCATCAAGTCACAGGTTTTTGCCTGCAAAAATGTGTTGGGTGAGGATGTAAACAACATGCTCATGCTCATGCCATGCTTGGCTGTGATACAACACAATGTTTGGAGCTGGGAAAGGGGTATATTTATAGCCTTGTGTCTATGGATTCAGGAGGGCAATTCAGGAGAGGGCAGTTCAATTTTTACAGTTGGTCATTGGCTCGAATCCCAGCTGGGGCAAGGCCTTTCTCTGTGTTTGTGTGGGTCTCCTCAAAAACATGGTAACCCGAACCGGTCTAAGTTGGTCCCCAAGAGCCAGGGCTGCCCACTGCTACTAACTAACACTCATAATGGGACAGGACATGTACAATCATTTAATATCGACAGCTAGCATCATCCCCCGGATCTACGGCACACCAAAAGTACATAAAAAGGACACTCCATTACGCCCCATGTAGACAGCATTGGTTCCGTTACATACAACTTATAAAAAGCACTGGTTGAAATCATCAAACCCACCACAGCACCCACACAATACAAACCCACCCTCTGGAAAAGATACAGAGGACATCCTGGAAAAGATCAAATCTGGACACACACCACAACTCACGGATCAGCTGAACAACATGGACAGCACTGGAAACATCAAATTCACACAAGAAGAGGAAACAAACAGAACCATAAACTTCCTGGACATAAAAATTCATCACAAAGACGACGGCAGTATAAAAATCACAGTATACAGAAAACCCACACACACAGGTCAATACCTTCTCTGGACATCGGAACAGCACACAAACTCTCCGTAGTCAGAACACTTTATGAACGGGCCAGCATAATCACCGAGGAAGAGGAAAAACACAACCTACGACACGCACTCACACACTGCCAGTATCCAAAATGGGCCATAACCAAAGGGAAACAGCAAGTCACAAACAAAGAAAAACAGAAAGAAAACAAAATAAAACCCAAACAAAAAAAACGAAAGCAGCTACAAAGACATGGTGACCATAGCGCGTACTGAGGACAATGAAAAAACACAAAATAAACGCAAAAGTAAAACCTCACACAAAATTCCGCCCGCTTTTAGTTCACCCAAAAGACAGGATAGACACGGACAAAAAATACAACGTAATATACGTAATCCCATGCATAACATAAAACATACATAGGAGAAACAGGAAGAAGCTTCAATACAAGAAAAACAGAACATAAAAAAGAACGCGAAAAGGAAACGACAGGACGTCTCACAAGATCACAAAAAGACAAAGCAGAGCAGGTTCAGCCATATCAAATCACTGCAAAAGAAATATTCATGTCATGGACTGGGACAACACAAAAGTCATCGGATTGGAAAGCAACAAGTTCAAACGTTGGATCAAGGAGGCCGTAGAGATCAGGAGGCGGGCCATGTCTGTCCATGACGGCAGGTGAGGGAGACCTGATGGTGCTCAGCAGGGCGCAAGGTATACGCGTGGCTGTCAGTGTTGCCAAGTCCGCTTATTATAAGCGACTTTGAGCTTGTTTTTCTGTAAAGTCGCTTACAAATATTGGTAGTTGCAGATATTTTCAATATGTTATTTAAACGTAGGATAGTTTGTCTTACCTGTTCCCTCTGTCCCTCCTCTTTCCCCATACACACAGGAGACAGCAGAGTTTTTTCCCACCCGCATCCTGCTTCTAACTGGCTCTGACTCTGATGGCAACGAGTACCAGCCAATCAGAGGCAGAGCAGGGTAACGTGTTTTTTTCTGGTTAGGAAAACGTCAGTCCTGTAACTAAAAGAAAAAAGTTAGATGAGTGCATAAACAGCAATAATAAATAAAGAATTTGTGAATTCAGGATGATATTTATTTGTGTGTGCAAATTTTAATTATCAGAAGTTTACTGTGTATATAATGTACTTGGTACATCAGTCTATATTTGATATCCCATCTGTTTTCTAATGTTAAATAATGTTAAAAGGTGGTTTAACTCCCTCTTGTGGTCATTGTCCTGAAGCTCAGGGGGGAGAAAAATAAATAAACTCTGTACCGTGGATACGGTTTTGCAAAACTGCGCACAGTTTATGGATGTAAATTGACAATCTGTACCCACAGTTTAAAATCCGTCCCCACGGACTGTAAAACCGTGCACATAGTTTATTTAATTTTCTCTCACTGGAACCTAGGGGGGCTCCGTAGAAAAAGTCGCTTGTTTTGGGCTTGTTTTCACAGGCCTGGTTGCTTACTTTTAATTAAGAATTGATGCAATGGGCCACATTTAATAACTAATATATAGTTCTTACATGTGTATTGCAAATGGGGTTCTTATCTAGACAGTGGGCAAAAGGAGCACCACCTGGGGTGTGTCTGTGCACTTGCCTCTAAGATAGATTTTTGCCCATAAAGCTCCCTACCTCAGGCCAGAGCAGTTCACACAGAGGACTGAACGTACAAGTGAGAGGTACAAACCTTAAGCAAGGGACAGGCCGCGAAGCGTGTTCTCTATCATTCCCCTGATGTTTTCACACACACAGCGTGAGGTAGGTTCACTGACATGTGAATAATGTATTTTATTATTATCAGTTATGGCTGTTATTTCATAAAGCTGGCATTGCCTCTCATGCAGTGTGTTGAATATGCTTAAATGCTAGAAACTAACGTTAATAACGATAGACGATAGACTCATTATGTCTCAGTTCATGTTTTTTACATGTCTGTGTAATCTGTGCAGTTGATGGTGTTTTTTAGAATCTTGTATAATCCGCATGATTCCTATTAGAATAAAGTTATATGGGTTGCCTAGTTTTGACTCCAACATGTGCACACTGTGGGAAAACACTGTGGAATAGTCAGAGCACGTGGAAAAACATCAGCAGTTGTGCGGTAGTATTTTTTGAACGGTGCAACCAAGTCTCAGTCTTCAGACTGAGTGAATAATAGGCTAGCAGAAATAGGTACAAATGGCCATCACAGGTTTTTGAAGTTCAGTATAACATCTTCTCTTTTCTTTTCTTCTTCTTCTTTTTTTTTTTTTTGTTGCCAAAAACACCATCAAAACAAACACAATGGAGTCAGTTTTAGATAAGAGAAAATGTTAAGTGGAGAATTTTAATTCCATTTATTTATTATAAATTTACTATGGGTTATGATGCTTTTGTTAATATCTGTAAACAAAATCCTTTTCCATGTTGTTTTCATTCAGCAATTATGTCAGTGAAACATGCCCAGCCCCACTTCAGCCAGTCTCAGGTGACTGAGATGATGAAGAGGCTCTTCAACCTGACACCATCAGAAATCCACTCTCTGCCGAGCTATGAGGACCAGAACTTCTATGTGGCGCCCGCTGAGGGTGGCGAGTACGCCCTGAAGATAATGAACTCAGAAGACAGTGAGAACCCCACCCTGATTGAGGTGCAGACATATGCTATGTCTGTCCTTCACCAGAATGGACTTCCTGTCCAAACAGTCGTGCCCACCACCTCAGGACAGCTCATGAGCCTGGAAGAAACAGGTATGAGACCAGTCACATGGGTCAGGCCTGATGCACCTGCACCTTTATTGCATTTTCTCTGTCAACATTCACTCATGACCCACATGCGAAACATGCAGGTTGTGTTGTAAATACCTTTGTGATGTATAGGAGGTACCTAGGATGTATGTATGCTCAGATGAATCAGCTGGAGGCTTAGGTGGAGGAGGATTTCTGAAATACCCCATGGTGGATGAAGAACCTGAAAGCCATACTTGAGGAAAAGTACAGATATCTTACCAGAAAATGACTTTAGTAGAAGTTAAAGTCACCTACTAGAATATTACTTGAGGAAAAGTATCAGATATTTGCTCTATTTAAGTATCCTAATTAACTGTATTATATTAAATGTACAGTAAGTACTGAAAGTAAAAGACAGCACACAAGTACAAGTAAATCCTGATAATAATAAAATCATTACTCGCCCTCTCTGCTGCCACGTCCTGCTTCCACCATGAAATCATCTCATCCTCTCAGCATCTAATCTGACAGGCAGCCTGGGCTTGACGTGAAACCTAACTGCAGCTTTAAGAGCACGTTTGCACTTGCTTATATGTGATTAACCTGTGATCTAAGTTGCAAGCTTGGATCACTGAATCACCAAACCGTCCGATTTTACTTTGTAATAAAATAGTGACAAAAATGCTTAGGACATAGAAACGCATAGCTAGAGTGTTTTAAAAGTACGGCATAGTCCCCCTTTGATATTCACATCTAGTAATGATATGTACCCCTGAGTAAAGCTGATGCTTTATGAGGACTAACAGTGAGGGGAATGGCTGTTACACTAATCCTGCCTTTTTCTTTGGCAGATTGTGGATATGGCCCTCAGAGGTACCTGGTGCGACTGTTTACTTATTTGCCTGGAACCACCATTTCCAAGGTCCCTTTAACACCACAGTTACTGTATGAAGCTGGCAAGACAGCAGCCAGGATGGACAAAATCTTTCACCAGGTACAGTGGATAAACCCCTGTGAAACTTTTAGATCATTTACTTTGTTTTGTAATACCATGAAATCTGAATCCCTGAATTGTTGTGACAATAACAATTGTCTTGAAGGTCCAGTGTGTATGTTTTTTACAAACCAAACACCTGCTCTTGATAGGGCCATTGGCATTATGTTGTGACACTGCTTTAGTGTGTTCACCGGGTGCGTTTGTTTTGGAGAGGAAGTGACCTCTGCGGATAATTCTGCTCCCGGTAAAAACTCCTGAACAATGAACACTGAAGGGTTGCAACCTCCAGTCCTCACAGCTAGACGTCACTAAATCCCCCTAAACCTTACACACTGCAAAGTGACAATACTTGTGTCATTTTGAATTGGAATTCTTAAGTCACGAATTTACTCACCACTTTTTTATGCTACTTCACTGTTATCATGTTTACATTATTTCAGAATCTAATTCAGATAATGTATATAATAAACGCCTTACCCTTCACTGCTCATTAAACATAAAGCTGGACTTCTAGAGCTGCTAAGTTTTGATAATCAAAACATGTTTACTTCACTATCTTCAATTCTGTCTTGTACTTTTTCTACTGCCTTCCGCTTATTATTATTGTTTTTTTTTCCAGTTGGAGCACCCTGATCTTGGCGTGGTGCAGAGAGAGAATTTCATGTGGAGTCTGTCAAATGTTCCCCTCCTGGAAGGTTACGTCCATTTATTAGATGGAGATCCTCTTCAGGAGGTTGTGAAGTCTGTCATTCATCAGTACAAGACCTCTGTGATCCCTAAACGCTCCAATTTCCGCAAGTGTGAGTATGATATTTACTTAGAAACATTTAGATACAGGAGCTGATAAGTTAGAACATTCATTGGCACCTTGTTTACTGTAAGCATAGACCTGATATGTTACTGAATACATGAGTGATATTTCATTTATTCCATCTCTAAGGCATTAACCACGGTGACTTCAGTGATCAAAATATTCTCGTACAACCTGAGGGTGACGGCCACAAGATTTCTGGCATCCTTGACTTTGGGGACATGAACACTGGCTGCTTCATCCATGAGCTCGCCATCGCTATCATGTACATGATGACGGAGCACCCAAAACCCATAGATGTGGGTGGACCTGTCCTTGCAGGGTGGGAAAGTGTCCTTCCTCTCAACAAGGCAGAGAAAGATTGTCTCTATGTGCTGGTGCTGTCCCGCTTCTGCCAGTCACTGGTTTTAGCTCGTCACTCTGTAATGTTGCATCCAGAAAATGAAGAGTATCTGATGATTACATCCAGGAGGGGCGTCCATACTCTCCGTCAACTCTGGGAGCTTGGAAAAGAGCAGGTGGAGAAGGTGTGGTTTCAGAGTGCTGCTCAAGTGAGTGACAGCAAGTGAGAAATATGTAGCCATTCATGCTTTAAATGCACAATAGGGTGATTCCACTGAGACATTTTTTCCAAATCAAGTGTAATTTTCATCTAAATTCACCGAAGTGCCTGTATCCATGTATTACACTCACATAAACACATTTTGGTGAAGACGATTTAATGTTGTAATGAGTTTTTGTATAAAATAAAAATAATAATGAGTTTTGTATGAATTCTGAGGGTGTGAATTTATCCTTTATACTGTATAGTGTGCTCAAAAGTCCTTAAAAGATGGGTTCAATGGCATTTACACTACTTCAACACTCACACAATCTACCTTAACTTTCAGAATGCGTGTTTCTTTAACTGGGTCCAGATGTTAACCTTTTAATACTGCTCCAATTATTTTAATAAACAAAACAACTCCTTAAAGAGCCATGTTTGTTTGTTTTTTCAAATACATATATAAAT